GTGGTTGAGTCATTGTTATATAAATATTACCACTGGCTTCCTTTTAAGTATCCCCTCTCACCATCTTCTCTTGATAAAACCGCTACTGCTTTTCTTTTCTATTAACTGCTCCTATTCTTACTGAAATTTGCTCCAGATAAACACTCACATCCAAAGAGTAACGATGGTAGATATTTGATAACCAAAACAGCTTTATGAAACCATCAATTGGTCCAAAGACTTGTGATGATGGACATGTCGTTTTATCTGAAAAAGTTGCACAATCAGACCATGAATTGCCTTTATAAAAATATACAAAAATTTTTGCTTTTAATAATTTTTTTAATATTGCACAATTTTTTGTTAGAAATAAATTTCCTGTGACAGGACAAAAATAGTTCTTAATTAAAATTATTTAATTAAATTTCAATTCTAATTGATTAAACTCTACTCTGTAATAATATCTTTAATTATTTTATTAGTCGACAGTACTTTTTCTAATACTAATTCCGTTTTTGATTGGTGAATTTGGTTTCAATATTGATTTACTCTTGATCTGTGAAATTTTGTTGCTCTATCGAACATTTTTAGAGTAATCAAACATTTTTGTAGAAGTGTTAGTACATATTTATATTTTTAATAAATAGATATGTATATATCTATTCGTGCTACTGTGGCAACATATGAAAAGTGTTATAAATTTATCTCGAGTGTTATACATTAATCTCGAGATTTACTAATCGAAAATGAAAATTGCACTTAGAGTAAATCTCGATTTAGAAAGAGTTATCGAAAACCGCATAAGGATCAATTTTACCATGTACACTTAACAATCGATTTGCTAGAATTTTAAGTATTCCTTTAGGAGCTAATATCAAACCCTTAAGTTTTTCTTCACTAGTTATTAACATTATAAATTTAATTTTTGTTTTGCTTTAAGCAAATTGTATTGTACTAACATTTGGAGGAAGGAAGACGGAGATATTGCTAAAATTAGCATCCAACTTGGTACAACTTTATTGATTCAAATTGATAAAACTCTAACTAATACTAGATTCATATGAGAGTTTTATTTTTAATTCTGTCAAAAATTATCAGTGAAAGCAACAACAATTAACACATAAAATTACAAACAAAACTCTCATAAGAATCCAGTATCAAATAATGTATATTAACTGTACCCTGGCTTTGTGTGAACGTGTGAGTCCATAGGTTCCATTCTTGACACATGCATTCCAGAAATTATATACAGATAATTTTATCAATAGATGTTTTCAAAGTCCATTGATAATGGATACTTGCGATATCCGAAACAGCTGTTCGATTAGATCCGTTTATAAAAAATAATTTCGGATTTGCAAATTCTCTCGCTACTCACTCTCACGTTTTTCTAATAGAAACAGATTTCTGGCTATAGAACAAAATTTTAAATTAAAAGTAAAGTATTTAACTAATTTAAATATTTCATCACAATATTGCACAATGTTTCTGAGGCTTCTTCACGTTCTTCATTGGGTGCTGATTTTACGTGACGGATGCCAAACCCAAAATTAAAAACTTTAGGATAGAAGTCACTATACCCACTATTAATTTTTCACGCAGCAAATGCCAAGATCCCATTTATGGATGCCACATAAAACCTTCTGCGACAACTTGAATTAATTTTTGTGCAGAAATGCACGTTTCTCGATAGCTAATGTTACTAACGGGTTATCTATTTCTTTAGTGCGAACATTTGTTTAACCTTAATATAGACACTATCAAGAGGGGCGCTAAGGTCAGATGTTTATTTCCATCAGAAAACGGAAACTACTCGATGAAAGTCTTTCTAGCCTTAATAGAGCAGGTAAGAATATTGGCTATAAGAAATAAAATTAAAATTAGAAGCGGAATTTTAAAGAAAGAAAGATATCCCATAATTCAAGTCGCCGTTTATCAGTTTTTTTTTAAATATTTTGACTTATTTTAAAAATTTATTATATATTTTTGAGAATTTATTTTAATAATATTTTATCATTTCACATTAAAAAATTTGCCACATTTAAAGTTGAAGTTTTTGGCAATAGTTTTCTGATAATTACGTTCAGTACAGTAAAAAAATTTGAATGTAAGAGCACGTAGTGTGGGTACTATCTAATATTTTTGAAAGACGAATTGGTATTTTGCAAATATTTAAGATATAATTTTTCACAATTCTATAATTAATCATTTCAATTCTATATAATTTTAAACAAATTTTTTTTTAATAAAACTAAGTTTAGCAGTAATTACCTTAAAGGATTGCGTACCCTGCAGTCGTCCTCCTGTACAATGCTATAGTGCGGCTTAATGTTGTGCCAGAACAGATGATGAAGATTTCTTATATAAGCATTCTTGTTATGCTCCTCATAGGTGTTCTTCATACACATTCTCATATACAGCATCATATACAACATGCTACAGCCCTTTCAGATTTTTTCTTAAAATACTTCAATATAAAGGATGGAGAATTTTTAGGAATGCGTTGCCAAAGTTCTTCATAAAAATATACTTCAACACCATCATTCTATACAACAGCTCATTACAGTGGTATTGTTCTTGTAAACTCTTCCGCCAAATATATATACTAGGGTATATGATGAAGGATTGTTATGCAAGTGTTTTGTTATTGTTCTCCACATAAGGTTCCTCTGTAACCATTTCACTATACAATATTAATTAGAGTACTGCTGTTATTGCAGACATTTCCTAAAAACATACCAGGTTTCATGATGAAGATATCTTATGAAAGCGTTACTGTTTTCCTCGATATTAGTATCTTTCAACACAATTCGTTCATACAAAATCTCCGTATAGCGCTATTGCGCTTGCAGACCTCTTCTCCAAATATACTAGTGTAGATAATGAATATCGCCATTGTCCTGGATATAAGTATGCTACATTACCATTCTCGCTTCAAAACATTTATATATTAGTATCCTCCAACACCATCCTCTTTTGCTGCATCTTGGTAAAGAGTTGCTATTGTTGCAAATCTTTACCCAAACATGCCAATGTGAATGTAAAAGTATTCTTATATGAGTATTACCATTGTCTTCTGTGTAAGTAAGCTTCTTCACCACCTTCCCTTTACAGTACCTGTGTATAGTGTTGCTATATTTACAGACCTTTACTCCAAATAAACCAGTGTAGTTGTGTTAAGCCTCCCATAACATTTTCCACAGTAAGCAGTAAGTATATAACACATCTCTATATGGCTCTTCATCAGATGTCCGGTATTTACCTAGTGAAACCTGGAATTTTGAAATAAAACTGATTGGCTCTTGCATGCGCTTGTAATAATTAACATAATTATAATTTTTATTGTATATTATTTTTAGTTTTATATATTCTTCTCGAATGTATATAATTAATATTAGTTAAAATTTGTTTAATTATTAGAATTATTATTAATTTTTTTTTGTTTTATTTAAATATTAAAGTAGAAAAAAACAAAAGTGCAAATATTGCATTGCCTACATCGTTTCATCCCAAATTTTACTCATATTATACTCATTACACAAACACTGTGTAATATTACTGAACTCTCTGTTGTGCTCTCTTGCGCGCTCTCATATTTGTTTATTTTCTTGTTTTTGCCGCTTGGCTGCTTGCACGATCCGGTAAGCAATTGCATTTGTTGACCAAAACAAACAGTTCTAGTTGTTAGAGTGTAGCGTGTGGTTGGGTTTTGTTTTGTCGCACAAAGACTTAAATTGCCCGACTTTTAAAGAAATAGAAAAGTTTACGTGCACTCAATATAAAAATTATTTTTAAGTTCAAAATTAAATTAACGAAATTTTAAAAAATATTTGACGAATACGTTAATGAATTTATTGTTTAAAGCGTATTTGGAATTAAATATAAATATAAAATTTATTTAATACGAAACGAAAGTAAAAGTGCAGCTCAAATACAAAAATTTCAATAAAAATTTCAACAAAAATAAAATTAAAAAAATTCGATTTTATTAAAACTAAACAAATTTGCTTATATCAAAATATGTTCATCTATTTTTTTAACAATAATTTAAATTTAATTTTAACAATAATTTAAAAAAGGAGAAACATTTTTTATAAAACAAAGTTGCTAAGCATGCTTCAAATCTGTTTTCCATTGATGCGCCTGTGCAGTGTTTTTCTTAACATTAACAAACAAAAGCAACAACAAACCGTATAAAAGGGAACACAAAAACGTGCAAAAGCAAATTCCCTTTAACCGAATCAAAGTCAGCGATTAAAAAGTGTACATCTGTGCTGTGGCTTGTGTAAGTGTGTGTATGTGTTGTGTGGGGAAGTTGATTGCGGCTGTTGGTAACTTGTTGCGCAACTGCTGTTGTCAATAAAAGCAAGATCGTTGCAGAATCTCACAAACTGGAGCCGCAACATAACAAAATAATTGCAATAAAAAAAATATTATTTGTGAACATTTGTGAAACTAAACATAAAAAGCCAAAGTGGATTAACTAAAGGAATAAAGTCGACAAAGTACGCGTTACTGTGTTGAGTTTATGCTTCAAAGGTGAAAAACAAAAAGTGCAACAACACAACTGCTGCATAATTGGTACGCTTATCTTATGTCTTCTAATTACCCCTTCCCCTACCCCCTTCAGTGTTATCATACTGTAGCCTGTAACAAGACTAGAGTTTAACTTCTTTTATGCTTTATATCGCAAAACGACCTTGTGTGTTATTAAGAAAAATAAATTCAATTAAAAGAAAAAATCCCATAAGTCATATGAAAAGTTGTTGTTGGCTGCCACTTACCTGTGTGTGCAACGGTATGAACATAGCGGAACAAGCAACAACAACAACAACAAAGCGTGCACGGAGTTCATAACAATTAAACAGAATCGTTGGAATAAAGAATCAAGAATTAAGAAAATTATTGAAAGAGTTAACTGGAATCTAATTAAAATAATAAAAAAAATTTACTGGAATCTTAACATACATAATTAAAGTTATTTAAATTTTGCAATAAAGTTTAATTGAAATTCTGTTGATTTGCATTTACGATAAAAATTATTTTGTTCTGATTACCAAAACAACAACAACAGCGTTCAGTGGATTTCATTCCTGTTTTTATTTGTGGATTATTATTGTTACCAAAAGGCTTACAAGGTGAGTTTTAGTTGTAAGAAAAAATGATCAATAAACCTAATTTTAACTCAACTCATGTGAGCCCTGTATATTAATTAACACTCTACGAACATTATCTGATTTATCACCAAGTCAATCCTTGGGCCCATCTTACGGCTGTTTCGGATATTACCAAATATCAGTTATCATAATCCTTCAATACAATCCTCTAATCTAATTCTTTTCTTTTCGGAATATGCCAGTGCATATGTTGGAGGAATCTTACAAAAGTTTTGTCGTTTTCATTCACATTTGAGTCCTCCAATACCATCCTACTCTTACATATCTCGGTAGAACGCTGCTATCCTTGCATATCATTATCCAAATATTGCAGTTTAGATGTTGAGAGAGCATTACCATTGTCCTCCATTTCAGTACCTTCTCTCACCACCTTCTTTTTACAACACCTCTGTATACTGCTGTTATTCTTGCACATATTTTCCACAAATATACCGAAACCGCTGTACAGAACCATTAAATTGGTCCAAAGACTAATTGTAATTAAAGCAACAGTACGGTTAGACCATGAATAATGAATAGACCATGATAATGGCAATGATGATAATGATATATTGCTAATATATTGCTGTATTGACAATATATTGAAATTGATAAAAATATAAAAAATGTTTGGTTTCGAAGTAGGTTACTGTTGTATGATTTTTAATTATAAGTATATAATTAAATTTTAATTCCAATTGAATAAAGTTTATTTTGTAATAATATCTGTAATAATTTTATTAGTGGGTAGTACTCCTTTAGCTACTAAACGTTTAATAAAATCTCAAATTTAACTTTTGTTCTCCTTTAAGCGCATTTAATAAAAGTTTTTGTGCCTAAAAATAGCTTCATTGTGCTTTTTGCATGTACAATTTCGATAACATAAGGTGGGCCGGGCCTTTCGACCTTACACAATACTTTTTGAAAGTAGGAAATTAAAGTTAAGCCATCTATTTGGAATCACATATGTCGTTAGGATAAACTTTTCACAAAGAGACTGTATTAACATTAGGAGAAAGAAGGATGGAGTTGTTGGTACAACTCTATCGATTCGAACTAATAAAACTCTAAATTTAAGTAACGCATATTAACTGTATTTAAGCTTTGTGTGTGAACACATCAGTCCACTGTTAAGATTTGAATAGCCAAACCCAGCAATAACATCATGGAATCAAACTTTTTTAAGAAAATTTTTAAAGAAATTGTTTCTGTTCTAATATTTTGGTATTTTCACTGAATAAAACTATATTTAAATTAATTTCCTGATTTTTAACTCCACATAGAATTTTTATCAGTTATAATTGGTAAGCTATCCATCCAAACCAATCGCATGTGTTGTAGAAAGTGGTTCATCTCAGATTCATTTTCCATATAATGAAAATACTCGTATTTTTTAATTTTGTTTTTGTTCTTAATTATAGTCTGAGAGAAGTTGTTTTTCTTCTCTTTTTCGCTACTATGTGATTTTAATAATCGTTCTGAGTATTGGAATTCGATTCAAATAAAAACTGCAATGATTCACAAATAACAATTAGAAAATAATTAAAAAATTGCCGCTTGTCTTGCCGGTTTTTCTTTTTTGAAATATGAAAGTTAAACAAAATTTACCAAGAAAATAATTGAAAACTTTTTTGCTTTTAGATTATTTGTTCTTTTTTTGTTTAAAAGAAAATTTTTGCTAAAAGAAAAAATAAATTTCAACTCAAATTATTAGTTACATAAAATTTTTAGTGTGTAAAGCATTAATAAACATTTTATAAAAATTACGTTTAAAAATTTATTAAAAAAGAAAATTAAAAAATTAAGAAAAAAAAAATTTGTCACAAAAAAATTATAAAAATAAAAATTTAATAAAAAGTTGAAAAAAAAAAATTACATAAAAAAATTATTAAAAAAGATATTGACAAAAAAAGTTAACAAAAGAAAACTAACAAGAAATTAGCAAAAACAAAAATAAAAAAATTTAAATATATATGTATGTATATATATATATATATATATAATATATATATATATATATATATAAATTAGTAAGATACCTATATACTTAAATTAACGAGTATTTCGTAAAAATGTTTTTTTTTTAATTAATTGAGTTTATTATAATTTTTTTTATTAAGTTTTAATTCTTTAAATTCGTAAAATTGATTGAAATATTATCTAATAGTACCTAATATGAATATTTATAATACGAGTAATATATTTCAGAATTTATTGCATCTACTCAGTTCCTATTATTTAAAATTATTGTATATAAAAACTTCATTATGTATGACTTTAATTAGTTAGAAACAATCAATTTTACAAGTCTTATATGGAACTCATATTGACATTACCAATCATCAAAAGCGAACCAGAAAGGTGCTAAGAGTATTCGTAAAAGTCGGTTGTTTGGGAATTAATGCAAACTAGTTTTATTAAATTGATTTAATATTTCAATTTTAAAAAGTATTCGTACATCTCTTGATTATATAAAATATTTTCTACATTTTTAACAAATAATTATTCTTTTTTTTAAATTTACTTGAACTATATACTAAATATCGGCATTTGGAATTTATTGATAAATTAAAGACAAAATTGCTGAAAAGAAATAAAAAAAAATTAGAACTAAGTTATAAAAACATATATAATTACTCACAAAACGAAGAAATGTACGTTATTATAAGTGATAATAATAATTGTACTTTTCTAATTGTGTTAAATAGGGGTATTGTCTTTGACTTTTGTCAAGTTCTGGTCGGTTGCGGTAAAGAGGCGTGGCGTGAAGCAGGCATTATCCTCTTTATCAGTTATACGCTTGATGTCAGCGAGAACACTCTCAAAATCACAAACTGATAAATCGCTTTTTGCTATAGTATCCATATTGGTACGCGCTACAAAAAAAATATGTAACTATATTAACAAATTAGTCTAATGTTATATAAAGAATATAGATTATCTGTAGTAATATACTAATTAATAAAAAAAAATTTTATATACATATATAGTGAAAGCTTTCACAAGTGAATATCTGGCTTAATCGTATAATGTCAATTAGATCCAAATTTTTATTTTTCATTAAAAGTATGGTTCTTGAAATAAAGACGTTTCGTTACCACGTAGAATTGCTGGTCCCGCTAGTCTTTGTTATTAAGAACTTTTACTATATAAATATTATGTACTGTGTGTTTGGTTAATAATTTTACTTAAAAAAGTTTAATTATCTTTTCTACTATATATATTCTTATAATGACTGTTGTTAGGAGTGTAGGGTTTTTAAATTTATTTTAAATCTTGTTTCTAAGTTTAATTACAAAATTCCTTGAACGTCGTACATATATTTTAAATATTATTTTAATGTTTTTTTGATAGTTTTAATAAAATCAAAAATCTTATGTATTTTAAAAGATCACCTGCTACTGTTTTCATAGCTTTCATATTCAAAGTGTTTTGCAGTAATTTGGTGGGATGAAAAAATTAACATATTTCAACAAAAATTCATTCATAAAGCACAAAATTTTTATTTAAATAAAAACAACTCAATAAGCCAAAAGATAAAGATAAAAAAGATAAAAAGGCATATAAAATGCCAAAATTGTTGAATGAAATTTTTTGTGTCTATGTCAAGTAGACTTGACTAACTGCTTTAATAGTAAATTGTCACCGCTTTTATGCCCTCTAAAAATTATGCTAATATATGCAATTTTAAATATGAAATTTACTTTGTCTTTATCGAAAATATTTTTAAATAGTTAAAAGTTAAAAAATATATACGTTAATATGTTTTACGTGCCATTAATATTGCTACTAAATGAGTGTCATTTAAAGGAATAGAGCTATTTTTAATTATGAAACTTAATTTTACAGTAAAATTAACAAAAATTCATTGACTGATGAGTTCAGAATATTTACAAAATCATTAATATCCGGTAAATATTCGTTATGCAATAAGTAAAAATCTAAAATCTCATTGATGAATAAGATTACAAAACCTTAAAGTGGGCTATGTAATCAATATATTTTTGTAATATTTATATTTTTATAATACATGCCATAATGTATGAGTAATGTTTGATTTATATTACATTACTCATAGCTTCTTTAGAAACGAATATGAACATCTTATCACAGAAATTTATCTAAGTCAATCGTTGCCAAAATAAAAAAGAAAAATCAATTTCCAACACATATTATTAAAATTAGAAACCTATGGATTTTTTTTAGTATTATAGCTATTGATGTTAATGTCCTCCCAAATTACCCTTTTTTTAGTTCAGAAAGTTGTGTCTATCCTTTTAGTGACCATTACTTCCCATTGAGCTATTGCAATAAATAAAAGTATCGTAATATACCAAAATATGTGTTCAAAGCTAACCATTTTAATTAATTAATTAACGAAAAGTCAAAAATTGTTTCTGTCACAAAAAAAGCTTTTTATATAATTATAGATCTCTTAAATATTTTCGCTAAGTGTACTCAGTATTTGATTCTCACAAACTTCAAATAGAATCCCGTGTTTTAAAGCGGTACATCCATTATTGCAATAGAAAACAACAATTATTGACAACAATTATTATTTCTATTTGTCTTTCAATAAATGTCATATACTGGAATTAATGCCATTAATTTTAAATTATTTTGCAGCTTGATTGGGCAATTGGGTGTCTTTCTGTAATAAGCCGTTTATATATTAACTTTTATATACACCAAAAATTTTTATGGAGATATTGATATTTATATTTAAATATAAACTTCTTATTATTTTACTTACTAGCAGTTCTTTAGGTTTCTTATAATTGCAATTTTTCACTTAATATCACAAAAAAATATATATAATCACGGTTTATATGAACCCAATAACGAAGTAATCTTTCTTCAGAGACGAATGTTCTTAAGTGACGTGTGAGTTTAATGATTGCCATGCATTAAAAATATTAGGACCCACCCTTGTTTTTACTCAAGGCTTGCCAAAGTTTTTGCAAAATTTTTATCTACATGTATATTTATATAAAGTGGAGGCTTTTGTATTTCTTTGAGATGTGAATACATTTACAATTGAATTTATTTTCATAGTATTCACACTTTCATACTATCTATAATTGAGTTATATCTAGAGTAGTATTTAGAATTATACCAGTACTTGAAAGGATAAATTAAACATGTAATAATGTAAACTATATACTGGTACATATTATTGCAATTACTATATTTCAGGTGTGATGATCCAGAATTAGAAATATTATATATATATATATATACATTATTTCACTATTTATTATTTCAAGTACTGGTATAACTCTAAATACTACTCTACGTCAGATATAAGCCATATATATATAAACTGGTGCGTGGCGTTCAAATGTTCTCTTTTTATAAAACCTTATGGTAACTAAAAATGAAGTAGAATAAACATAAAATAGTTGAAAAAATATATGCTTAATATTTCTAAATACTACTCTAGATATAAGCCATATATATATAAACTGGTGCGTGGCGTTCAAATGTTCTCTTTTTATAAAACCTTATGGTAACTAAAAATGAAGTAGAATAAACATAAAATAGTTGAAAAAATATATGCTTAATATTTTTTAACTAAATTAAATTTGTCATAAATTAATTAAATTCATTGTTTCATTATTATTTTTTGTCATTATTAGTACAGTGGTCGTCCAGTATAACGAACGCTCGATATTACGAATTTTCGATATAACGAACACCCAAAATATTTACATTGATTGTTCTATATAACGAACGAAAAAAAAAATTCTGCTCCATATTACGAACAAAAAATTTTTTTTTTCTTATTCGTTTTTGTTTTATACAAATTATGCTTTTGAATATAATTTTACTATAAAACCAGCATTATTCAGCTTAGAATATGCATGTAATTGTTCGTTTTTTTTTTTCTGAGAAAAATGCCTATATATGGCAAAATGCATATATGCAGGCGCCACTGATCTGTTGTTCACAAATTCAGTTTATCATATACGAAATACTATCTAGACATACATATAATATCCTATATCATATTTTCAATTTTATTGTTAGTGTGACATTAGTACATACGAAGTTAATAAATGGAATAATGCTGATAATACCATCGATGTCTCGGACGAGGATGATGGATCTGATGACGAAAATATAGAAGAAAATAATTTAGAAATTATTAAACATAAAGATGCCATAAATCATTTCGAAAAATGCATAAAGTGGGCGATTAACAATAATGAAACTTCAAAATTAGCTGTACTAAGAGAACTACAAGAAAAAGCTGTTCAGAAAAATTTTGAGTGTAGTAAAAAACAAACAAAAATTAATGATTTTTTTTACTCTACACTATGATTGACAACCGAATAAAAAATACTTTTAAATAAATATATACTCGTACGTGTTTATAAGTTAATTTATGAACTCAAATATATGAAATCTCCTAAAAATAACGATATTGGTAGGTAAATGTATAACATTCGATATTACGAATTTTTCGATATAACGAACAAGGGGTGCAACATAAAATTCGTTATATTGGACGTCCACTGTACTTGATAGACAACTCGTTCAGGATACCCTACCTAAACATTTTTGAATATTTTTGATTTTATAATATTAATTTTATAATATTAATTTTATAATATTATTTTATAATATTATTTTATAATATTAATAATAACTCATGTATATGATTTATTAGATGCCAATTAATTAATTAATTGATAAGTTCATTGTACTAAGATTAAGCAAATCATAGCATTGATATAATATATATTCTATTATTTATTATATAGTATACTATAGTATATATACTATCAATATGTAATATGTATTTGATTGAGCAAAAATCAAACTAATATTAGTTTCATTATATAAGATTGCTCTAAAAAGATCGAGAGTATAATATAATATTATTTCTTAACACTATCGATATATTGCGATCGATATTAAAACTTATTGAATACGTCAGCAAATATGTATCTATCCACAGACCTATATGCAACTTAGCGAGATATGAAATTTTTATCCACTGATAAATGATATCTAGCAAGTCATCATGAGAGAGCATTCTTTGTTTTTATATGAGAAATTGGAAGACAAGTGAAAAATAGTAATAAATATTAATATAAAAAAAATTAAAAAAACTATTTAAAAATTGAAAAATAATGTATATAAAAATAAAGTGTTGATCGATCTGTTGATTTCCAGAGGAAATAAAAGCTAATCAAAGGCGAGTTTTATTAATAATAATAAAAGAACTAAGAGTTAGTTCTTATGGTAATTAGTTAGATATTTAAATTTATCTATTGTGTTGTGTGAATCGTCGTTGTTAAATTGAATAATATAAGTTATTATATATCTGCTTTTACCTTATACGGCTCTATATCGATTTTAACATGTTTTCACTGTACCAACTTCTACATTACGTGTCGATTTACAAATGTTTTATTTTACTCATTGACCACTGATTATAATTTATAGTTTTATATATTTTTATATTAAAATCTTTAGCAAATAATATGAAATCAAACTTGTTTATTAATCCATTTATATAATTTTAAACTTATATATTTATATATTTTATATATTATATGTTACATATATATTTACAGTATATATCTTATGTTATAGGAAATATTCACACGTTTTGTCATAATAACAAAGAAAATGTTGAAAATTTAAATTATGTTAATAGATATAAGCTGAAGTTATGGGCATTAAGATATTTCAATTGCTTATAAACTCATAAATTAAAAAAAATAATATGAACATAATGTATACATATATACGTATCTATTTGCAAATTCCTATTTGAGTTTAAGGTTGTTTTAGTGGCACGTTTGATTATCGATATCTTAGATATTGCAAGTACAAATAATAACACATTTGTTTTTATAATTTATTGAATTCGGGTAATCTAAAAAGATTCAAATCTTTCCAAAATGGATTATAGATCTATAGTATTGAGTTATTGGAAAAATGTTGAGCTAATTATAAACAACTAATCTTGTCCCGTTTCTTTTAAAAAATAAATAATAAATAATATAAAAAATAAATAAATATATAGGTTTGTAAGATAGCTCATAATTGCAAGATAGTTCGACTACCTTATCTAGAACAGCGGTTGGCACAGAAATTAATCAAAAGTGTCGAAATGACAGCATCAACAAAAAACACAAAATCATATTTGCATCATTGCATATTTAAATTCTGCATTACTGAGAGCAAATTCATATATGCTACATATGCTTTTTTCATTTTTTTTTTCGGACCTAAATTTAAGCAAAAGTTGCTTTTGTATTTTCTTAGTACTTGTCGATGAGCAATCGTTCGCATGTTGCATATAACATACTGCTTGCCTATGCATACTGATAAACATTTTTTTTTTATTGAATGTCCATATTTAGTGTATCTGAACAGGGAGTTGCTGGAAGTCGAATAACAAATAACATTACCAAAATAATGGTTTAGTGATTTTAGTGATTTTAGTGATTTTCAAACAAAAAAGATTGAACCATTCTGTGCTCATCGCATATGTTGATGACATGACATACTACAAAGATTTTCAACTTGATCGAAAACTAAACTTGATCTCACTTTTCTTTCGCACATATTAATTTTTCTTTATTGAATGATAACTCATCAAAAAGTTGCAATAAAACTTTTCATGTTTATCTTGAAAGTTAGTTAGTTATAGTTATATTTATCAGTGAGGAACTTATTGATGATATTTGACTTATATTCTCATCTAATATACATACTGTGTTCAAAAAAAAAATTATTTCAATACTTTTTTCAACACATCTAGCTACATCTAGTTCTATTCAATATAACAAATGATCTTACAATCCTGAGTAAGCCTTCACACACTTCAAATTGGCCTCGTGAACTCTTTGGGTTAAGGTAACCAAAATTGCTTCTTACTGTTCTAAAAGTACACAATTAGTATTCAATTAATACTTAGTGATTATTAAATTTTATTAATTTTTTTTTAAAACTGTGATATCTCGTAAGTATAATCTCTTTGGTTTAATAAATTTGTTTGAACTTTTTGTATTATAGCTCAGATTGTTGAAAATAATTTACTATAACTTAGTTATTATATTTTGATCCTAAGAAATACTGGTAGTTCTGGAACATTTATTCTATATAACATTGATGATAATATGTAGATCCCTATTTATTATGTATAAAATCATGTTTTGAAAAATATTTATTTTATGCCATAGCTATGTACATAAGTAGATAGCATGCACATATGTTTGTATGTAATATGTATCTTTTTATATAGTTACGTATATGAAGTATCTAAAATAATTTTATTCGAAATGGTCAATAAAAAACAATGACCTTGTGTTTAAGAACTGTGAGCTCATTTGTAATTATGATTTACGTATTCCATATACAATTTTCTTACCAAATGACGATTCTTTTTCTGTTGTTTAGTGGATTGTTTTTGGGAACGGTGTATTTTTAATATTTTTTCAAATTAAAAAATTAAATACTGGAAATTGCTAACAGACGGAGAGACAGACAGATAAATATGTTAATTAAAATAAAAATAATAAAAACTAAACGCATTTCTTAAAACAATGGTAGATCCAACAATTTAACATTACGTTCAAAGCCTTCTGCCCTGCGACTACCGACTAGTGTAGCCTTCTGGCCTCAGAGCAAATATTTGAAATTTAAACTTGAACGCTAAGTCTAAGTCTAAGTCTAAGTTTAAGTTAACTTTCAACTATAATAAAATCTGAACTTAACTGCTTTAATGTTACTAAATTCACTATTGTTACTGTGACTGTATCTGCAGTTGTGACTGTATTTAAAACCGTGTGATGTTTTTTTGTATCTAATTTAATTTCAGTTTTAATTTTATTTTGTTTTC